TGCGTTTTCTGCCTTATAGTACAGGACTGCGGGATTGACATGAATATCATTAAGACTTTTAAGTGATTCGGTACTACTTTCCCCAAAACCTACCATCTAGTTTCATTGAGAAACCTTTTGTTCGGAAAGTAACTTCCATAGGCGGAATGTTATACTTTTCAAATCTCCCCAGAACTGCTTAGCCCTTTTGGTTTTCCGTTTGAAAGTGTTAAAGTTAAAACCTTAGACCCAGCTCCCTGAGTTATTGTTCATATTAGCATTGTTGACAGATATTCTATACGCTTTCTTTAGGAGCATTAGCCTTTGAAATCCATCATGGTTCGGACCTACCGTTCTCTTCACGAGATTTTATTTTATTTCACTGTAAAACTATCATTTACAACATTTAAATGTTTGCCATAACTAATCAATTTGTTTAACTTTATATATTTACAAACACATTATTTGCAAAAAAAAATATATATATTTCAAATCATTCCGTATTGAAATACAATACTCCAACATTTATGCTAAATAGATAATGTAGAACTTAATAATACATTTTTGCTCACAAAAAAATAATAACAATTGCAATTGTAATAATTACTCATTATAGTGCGTGATGTGTACTGTGGACAATATGTGGGCACAACTTTACACGCTTTGGCTCTCCGTACGTTTTGGATTTTATGGGTCAAATGTAAATAAAAATAATAAATAAATGGGTTAGGGAAAACAACAACAACTGCACAAACCTATTGATGATATTTTGCCACTTTTACTCACTCATTCTATATAGTCATCATTCAAACATTTTTACGTGTCATTAAATGTTTTCGTTTACCTAACACACCCATTGATCCCCCCAACCATACTTACTTATTGCGGTATTTTGTGGGAACTAAAACATTTTCGTGGTTTTTACATACATTATGCCACAAATATTCTATGAAAATATGAGATTTAGAATCAACAAAAATTGCGGAAAATAAAAATAATAAAACAAAAAAAAAATAGTTAAATAGTCGCCATTGCATTAGATGACGATGATGCATGTTCATGCATGCAAATTACGAATTTATGCAACATTTGAAAAATTGGGCTTTGCATTTGGGGAAAGAAAATACTAATGTTTTCCCTAATACCCCTCCTCTTCCAAAAGGCAATAACAACAATTGAAATATGAAAAATAAAACAAATACACAAACTCACTAAAAAGTAACTAAATCCGTATTAAAAATAATGATTTTGTTTTTGTATTTTTAACAATGAATGATTTTAAAATTCATAAAATGTTCTCAAATAGAAATGAGATTACGAATCACCATCACAATCAGGAATCGCCATCATATCGCATCGCATCACATCATACACAACCAACAGTTTGAATTTAAATGAATGAATCTACACCACATCACTGGTCAACATATACAAAAACAGGAAAAAAGAATTCTCGAAAAAGCAGGAATTTTGGCTATTTACTAAAACAAAAAATCCAACAATAACAACAACTTACTTCACTAGTGTAGTAAAGTAACTAAGTGTACAAATTTTATACATTTATGGGTTTTGAATTTATTTCTTATGATTTGGCATAAAGCCAGTTAAAATTAGACACTGGACAACAAATTAATAACACTATTCTTGTAAAAGTTCGATACTTCCTTTCTGTGTAAATTTTTCTGTTCGTATAGTTGTCGCTGAGTTCATAATCTTTTGCCCAATATTACTCGGGACATTCCGGAGGTAAGATTAATTTTGTTGATATCCCCACTATAACTGACGGCAAGGTAATAATATCTATTTGGTAGAAAAAGAAAAGCGTCTCATCTATGTTGAAATGCTGAAATCTGGACTGCTGTCCCTATCGGTCTGAAGTAGTGTCTCGACGATATGGCTTTTTAAGAATCCTATGTAGGAATACCATTCAATCAATACGTATTATTGTAATGAATAATAGAAAATATTTTTCTGAAAAATCCTCAGTTCCCCATCAACGATTGAAAATCTTAATCTCAGTACAATCGGTTCAGAAAAGTTGATCTCAAAATTGGGAATTTTGGAAAAATAATTAAAAGTAGGGAACCGAATATTTTTATTCTTCTATTATTTATTACATTGATACGCATCGCTTGAGAGGTATTCCCAGAAAAAGAGTGGTTCACGGGACACCCTTAGCTAGTTAGTTAGTCAGTCAGTCAGTCAGTTAGTTAGTTAGTTAGTTAGTTAGTTAGTTAGTTAGTTAGTTAGTTAGTTAGTTAGTTAGTTAGTTAGTTCGTTAGTTAGTTAGTTAGTTAGTTAGTTAGTTTTAGTTAGTTGTTATTAGTTAGTTTAGTTAGTTTTAGTTAGTTAGTTAGTTCGTTAGTTAGTTAGTTAGTTAGTTATTAGTTTGTTAGTTCGTTAGTTAGTTAGTTAGTTAGTAGTTAGTTGTTAGTTCGTTCGTTAGTTAGTTAGTTCGTTCGTTAGTTAGTTTTAGTTCGTTAGTTCGTTAGTTCGTTAGTTAGTTAGTTCGTTCGTTAGTTAGTTAGTTCGTTTCGTTAGTTCGTTAGTAGTTCGTGTTCGTTTCGTTAGTTCGTTCGTAGTTTTAGTTCGTTAGTTAGTTTTGTTTTTTCGTTCGTTAGTTCGTTAGTTCTTTCGTTCGTTCGTTCGTTCGTTAGTTCGTTCGTTAGTTTTAGTGTTCGTTCGTTTCGTTCGTTGTTGTTCGTTCGTTTCGTTCGTTCGTTGTTCGTTCGTTGTTAGTTCGTTCGTTCGTTTTCGTTTCGTTCGTTGTTCGTTCGTTCGTTAGTTCTTAGTTCGTTTCGTTTTTGTTCGTTCGTTCGTTTTTGTGTTAGTTGTTTTTAGTTCGTTGTTAGTTCGTTTTGTTCTTTGTTCGTTCGTTCGTTCGTTCGTTCGTTCGTTTTCGTTCGTTCTTCGTTCGTTCGTTTTCGTTCGTTCGTTCGTTCGTTCGTTTAGTCGTTCGTTCGTTCGTTCGTTCGTTCGTTTCGTTCGTTCGCGTTCGTTCGTTCGTTCGTTCGTTCGTTGTTCGTTCGTTCTTCGTTCGTTCGTTCGTTCGTTTCGTTCGTTCGTTTTGTTCGTTCGTTCGTTGTTCGTTCGTTCGTTCGTTCGTTCGTTCGTTCGTTCGTTCTTCGTTCGTTCGTTCGTTCGTTCGTTCGTTCGTTCGTTCGTTCGTTCGTTCGTTCGTTTCGTTCGTTCGTTCGTTCGTTCGTTCGTTCGTTCGTTTCGTTCGTTCGTTCGTTCTTCGTTCGTTCGTTCGTTAGTCGTTTTAGTAGTTAGTTAGTTAGTTCGTTAGTTAGTTAGTTAGTTCGTTCGTAGTTAGTTACTTCCATTGATATTGTGCTACGGGGCAGTTTCCTTCTTTTTCTCCTTTATCCTTGACCTACCACCAACCTGATGGAGAATGAGCTGCGACGTTCACATACGAGAAAGGCTGTAATTTGTTCTAAATACTACCAGAGATTCCGAAACTCTACTGGTCATAGAATATAAAGCGGAAATAGTTGAGTAAAGTCTTTGTACATGAACTGGGGTCAAGTAGGTATAAAAATTCCCTGAACTTATTGAAATACGTTGGGCCTCTTACCTCTATTACATATACAACTTAGTTCTAAATATTACGAGAGATTCCGAAACTGGACTGGTCACAGAATATAAAGCGGAAATAGTTGAGTAAAGTCTTTGTACATGTACGGTGGTGATTCGTTTTTAACCTAGAGGAACCAACGAATCTACAATTGCTGTTCTATATTACCTGACTACCTCTTTCTTACTTATTGTTTTATTTCAAAGTAAGATGGTAAATTTCTTTGGAAAACACCAATAAATAAACAATAATCCTTTTCTAATACACCCCATTAATAAAGTTTTAGCGATAATTAAAAGTATTTGTTACTTACAACAATAAAATCATGGTTTATCCATTTTTTTGGTCCTTTTTCCTTAATTGTTGTTGCTATAAAAATATGTTTGTGTAAGTGGGTGCAATTAAAACTCTATCCATTTATATTATTACCTTTTGTTCGGTCGTCTTGGTATTAAATAGTTGAAAAAAAGTCTCAAAACGAAATGAAAAGTTTCTTTTCGTTTCATTTGTTAATATATTTTTTAACTTATTTTGTAAAAGTTTTTCTTTAATAATTTTCGCTTTCTCTTGCTTTTTATTACTTTTCTTCATTTTTTTCTTTCGATGGAAGCTGGAAATATGGAATTGCTAAAGAAAAATAAGTATAAGTACCCTATGTTAAGCAATTACTTTGTAAAACATATTTGATATTTTGCAAGCAACTGATGCAATTATAAGCGACATTTTCGAATTTCAGCCTTCCGATTTAATAAAAACAATAAACATATATCCATGTATATATCCCAAGGTGCCGTTAAGGAAGCCTATACAATAATGTTCTAAATAAAACACACAAGGATATATTCATAAACCTTTAAGTCCATATAAAGAGTTCATGTTAAATTTGAAAAACATGTTTTGATGACGGTTATATAAGATTCGTTATAGCCGACTATAACACTCATATTTGTTACTTTTAATGTAGTAATTATTATTCTGGAATTAAAACACTTTTAGCTTTTCTCAATTTGTTGAAGTTAATAGAATTTAATCAAGCTTACAATTACTTTTCCAAATTTACTTTGTTATTAGAGCGATAAATAATTAAAATCATGCTTTAACATGCATGATTTATGTTCAAAACATTTTAATTGCAAACAAAAAATTAAAACAAGTAGGAAAGTATAGTTGGGTATGACCAACCACATTAGAACCTACTCCAGTTATGAATATTTATTTATCTATCTATCTATCTATCTATCTATCTATCTATCTATCTATCTATCTATCTATCTATCTATCTATCTATCTATCTATCTATCTATCTATCTATCTATCTATCTATCTATCTTTTTAATCGGCATAAATAAGTTTCATACGAATAGTTCTCTCGTTTATTGTGAAATATTCCCAGAGCTTTAATTCCCTAAAACAATAACAATACAAAGAGGATAATTAGCTCTTACAAATATGTAAAATTCTTATACCATTCAAATATCAACTCCCCCAAAGCATCATATAATAGTTCCAATTTCAGGAAACCAAAAATAATTTTTAATAGCTCCACCAAAAACCTCGGCAAGGGAGTTAGTTCAAAGACATCCTCAATAACATGAATATGATATAAAAGTTTTGGAAATAAGTCCATGTAATGCATTAGATCATTTTCCAGCATAGTTATACAGCCCAGATAACAGTTGCCTGGTAAATAGGATTCTATCTGAAAAAGATCACAATTTTCCTGCGTTGTATTAAGAGCAAGAGTATTTGATTTCCATAACAATTCGGGACGCACGACAAGAGAAAATTTCATTTTATCGGCCATCAAAAAGAAACGTTCTATATCGTTTTTGCAAGGTTCTAACGTCTGATTAATGGTGTCTATAAGTTGTAATATATCTTTAAGAGAAAAGGCAATATTATCGGCGATTTCTGGATCAGTTTGTATGAAACTATCTTGTAGTTTAATGCTGTGTACAGTTTCTGCATTAAAATAATCACCGGCAGAGCTAGTATTAGATATTTTAGCGGGAAGTTGTAAATCTTTTGCTTCGACACAACATTTTCTATTTAAAATGTTGACCAGACTTTTAATGGTTTCGGTTTGCAGCACTACCGTTTTCAAATCTATATAACGAGAACCAAATACCAGACAATATTTCTGAAAGGCCTTACTTGCTTTCCAACGGGACAATTCATTGTGTGTGATTGTGGTCATACCCAAGTGACCTTGTCTATGACGCTCTATAACATGTAACTTATAACGTTTTGCATGTGTACTAGCGGGCGTTATCAGAAGTAATATGTCTTCAGGCTTGAAGTCTCTTTTAAGTTTACCTATGATACGATCCAATACTGTATCCGCCGTTCGAAAAGAATTACGTTGAGTGGCTACTTTGGATTTTCTTCTGTTTGAGCTATCAACTTCTTCTGCACGAAAATCAATGAGATATTTGCTGGCAATGGGCTGCATAGTTCGTGTTATGCTGCGCACTGTACGAGTGCGATATAGAGATCTTGTCGTTTTAAACTCAGGCATGCTGGGCCAAGGGTTTAAAGTTTTTCTTCGGCTTTAAAGACAAATTGAGTTTTATTTTGTTTAGGAATTATTGTTTTTTAAATGACAATAGGTAAATATCTAAAACACAACCAGATCGTTAACGAATATATATATATCCCGTTATAGACCAACTTAATAAATAATGTTCTAAAATTTTTTTATGAATGCATTTAGTTAAACAAATTTATTAAAACAAAACCTTAGGTACAAAATTATTACAAGTCCATGTTCATAATATCCATTCCGTAAAATCCATATCAACTCCATTCAACCATAATAAACAGCGGGAGCAGCATAACCATAGGCAGGATAACCACTATAGTATACTTGAGGGGCGGGTGCTGGAGCTGGTTCAGGAGAGGCTACGGGAGAGGGAGCAGCTGTGGCCAAAGCCAACAAGACAGCGAACAACAAGAAGAACTAAAATAACAAGAAAAATCCATTAAACTTCTTTTACTTAGAATAACGATATTATAAATATTTCCAAAAATAACCAAAACTTACGATTTTGAACATTTTTTAGAGTTTAGTTTGAATTATAACTGGCAAAGTTAAATGCAGGAATGCTTGTTGTTTGAAATCTGCACCAGCCTTTTATACGCCTGAAGATCTAACCAAAAAAGATGATATCTAAATGCAGACCACAAAGAGGTAATAAAAATATTATATCATCATTGTGTAGAACAAAATTGAAGGAGAAACAGGTGAAACAGAAGTTAAATATATAATAAATAATTCAATTCAATGAAATTGATTTATTGATTTCAAACCCCGACTTAATTAAAATTCATAACATCAAACCATCGAAGTGAACAATTTTTGCACACACTTATCCAAATTGTTTTGGAGTTTAGTGCTAAAATATTAGTATAGAAACGGAAGTGTCCACATGTCGTCTAAATTTATTGTTTCTCTATGTCTAAGATAACATTGTTTAGATGCATATGTTACCCTTGGAAGCCCAACATATGAGAACTCAGGCTAGTTCAACCGCATGCTATGAAATAGTTCAGACTCCCATATAATCATAGGAGATTTATATGAGAGAATCACTGATTTTATCACTGTCTTCTACGTAAGCTACTCTATATTCGTCTAGATACGTTTGTCCAATTGTACCCGTAAACCTAGAATACATACTGTTGGATTTATTCATTATAAGGAGGCCAATCGTCTAGCTCTCCTTGATGCCACCCCATAAGATTTTAGTGGTCTTACCCACCGTTCCTCCAACCCAACCCAGGTAATGTCAAACGGTTTTACATTTGTCATGTTGGCTTCCTCTTATAGCAGATATATTCGGTTTTTCACAACCGACTATCCTTAAGTGGCTTGGTACCCTTATGAAGAGGAGCTTACCAATGGAAATATATTTATATTCAGTTACGATTCCGATCCATTTTACACATTCCGTAATAGTTAGTGTTATAGTTAATTAGGAATAATATATCCCAGTTTAAGTTTAAGAACAGGTTCCTGCAGATGTTTGCTATTATGTTAGCTTGACCACGATCAATGTCTCGTAGATCCCGACATTTCAGTTTCAGTACTATATATATGTCAGTACCCAATATGTCCAGTATACCCAATATGTCCAGTATACGACAGAAAAATCATCGTCAAAACAAAAGTCTTGGTTTAATCAGAAGTGCAGAATCTGATATAGAGAGCGAGCATTCAGAATTTGACATTGCAGTAAAAACTTCGAAACTGATCGCCACATGAAAATTCCAGATCTTCTTGAGCCAAAGTGTTAACATTCTTAGATTCATTCTTCATTCGCAAAAAAGGTATAAGCATGATGACCAGATTGACAAAACTAAACTTTTAGCTGAATTATTCGCGAATAGCTCTTGCTTCCAGCGAAGCGAAGTATCAACCACTGCCCGAGCTGGAAAGAGTACTATTAACTATGCCGAATATGTTTTTTCGAACTAGTGCAGTTAAAAGGGTATTAGCGTATCTCAACATCCCCAACAATTTACTTAACGACCCGCAGAAAAAATATTTTAAGTATTTCCATTCAAAACTTTGGCAATAGTTAAGTTGTGGCTCCTGATATATCCAAGGCATTAGTTAGGATTAATGTGGAAATGCTTTACGTGAACACCTGCCGTGTTGGGCTATTTCACGGTGATCTTTTCCAACCACTTGGTGAGCTTTTGTAAAGACTCTCAACCACCCCATTTTGGCAGGTGGCAATTTACGTATATGGAAGTTCCGGTCCAGTACACGTGCACTTAAGTACTTAAGCTATATAATCTCTGACCATTGCTGCCCCGTTGCTCAACTTCCGAGATGCAAAAAAATCACTTAAATTTACAACCATGCAGATGGAATAGCCTCTGTTGAGTCGGCAACAGCACCTAGAGGCGTAACCAGTAGACCGAAATACGAAAGCATCAAATAAGACTAAAATTCAATGGTATCACTTGTATAAGATACCTTTCATCCATCGCCATTCAATCCAGCACACTTCCCATTTATCCGATACACTCATAAGAGAACAACATACGACGGACTCACTCTAGGTATACGGGTGAATGAGTTTCGCATACCCCTACATTTATCCCGTATCATATACAATTAACATCAACTCATTTTCAACACTTAGTCCCACAGTCACTCCACTGTGGGGTATTCATGGTCATTCGGCAATAGTACCGAATTTATCCCGAAATATAGATTTCAATGTGCATCAGTCTTTTAACAGCAACTTACACTTCCCGCGAATTTCTGCTTAAACCACAGCCACTACGTGGATCCCGAAGGAACCTCAATCAACTGACCTGACAGGTCAAGTAATGCGGACAACTGGCCACCCGTAGTACCAGATTATGTGGTTCTCTGTTTAGACCCCATGTAAAATCATCCAAGGAATAGCCAGGGAGTGAAATGTCATCCCCAGTTTATAGTCCTGGTAGCACCTCTTTACTCCAGGTTTGCAATACACCAAGATGACGGTATTTTATCAAGGGGGGACATTCGTTAGGATGTGGCATGGTGTGGCATGGTAAAATTCAATTGCATTTGATGTCGCTACTTTGCGCCAATGAATGACACTATTTACAGATCTAGTAGGAATCTCTCGTAGCTACTTTTCGTTCATTCATTCTTTAAATCACCATCTCAATGTGGGGCACGTTTCACAGTTAAATATTCTTCTGAAATAAGGCAAATTCTTTCCGATAGAACACACCCATTTGCAGTAGATTGAATCGCACATTGCTCTACAATGAGAATTCGTTCTTAGGTCTTATATTCTATATATGTCAACTTCCCCCCACATCTCCTGAGTGTTGGTTTAAAAAAAAAAAGTGGGCCGGTTTAAGATCTGACAATTTTCATATCTTAGTCTTATCTCTCTTTTCCCCGACACTTCTAATAATAAAAGACAAATTTCTTATCTTTTTAAATGCATTTAATAAAACAAAAAATGTTTAAAAATAAAAAACAAAAACACTAAGATCTAACATGAAAACGAGGCCATATTCCCAATATCCATTCCATTACTGTTCCAATTCCGATTCGTGTTCCGACTAAGTTACTCAATCAAATATATGTATTATTAATCCAAAGCAAATGTTAAACGGATCAACCATAGTAGACGGCAGGATAAGCAGCATAACCAAAGGCAGGATAGCCGCTGTAAAATACTTGAGGAGCAGGGGCAGGAGCTGGATCGGGTGAAGCTACTGGAGAGGGAGCAGCAGCGGCGAAAGCCAACAAAGCAGCGAATAGCAAGAAGAACTGGAATAAGAAGGAATAATTATTAATTAATGAAAGATTGGAGTAAACGTAATCCTACTAACAATTTTAAACATTTTGTTGAATTTAATTTGAAATATGTCCGACAAAGTTGTATGCAGGAATGCTTGCTGTAACCAACTGGCACAAACAATTTATATACTCTGAGGCAGAGAGAGAGAGAGTGAACTAAGCTCATTGAATTCCATTGCATTATTTAAACGAAATTATATGAAATCAACAATTTTCCTATATAAAGAAAATACTTAGAGGTAGATATAACCCCAAGTAATGTAAAAAAGGTGTAGGTACACCTAAAATATACTTTGTCTATATGTTTCTCCTATGTTATACATATCGCCTCAATTGGCAAAATTAATCTCATTCATTCATTGTTAAATTGAAACAATAAATCGATTTGAATTCCATGCACAAACTGACAATATTTTTTGGCATTATCAAATATGCCCAACTCTCATTAAATTCTAGCTACAGGCTAGAGCAAACGAAATAAGCGTTCCAGGCAAAAGTCACTTTAACAAACTCTCTAAATCATCTCTAATTGAATTTGTCATACGATATTCGTCACAACATTTTACAAAAAAAAATGTTCACTGTTGTTTTGTCATTTTGTCTGTCTGTCAGCCCATTCGTCTGCCCTGTTGTTTAAAATTGAGTGTCATTTTTATATTAGTCTTTTTTTCCTTTTTCCCACTATAAATTGCAATCATCACCACCATCATCATCATCCATTGTCCATAGGTAGTCAAAGTATTTATTGTTCATACAACGCTTTATGGATTTTAAATACATTTTTTGTTGCATATTTGTTTCGTTCGTTCATTTTCGCCTGCTGTTTAATATTCGCAACAGTATTTCAGTCAAATTCCAAATATCACTACAATATTGCTAATTTAATTCATCTTTTAACAATCGACATTATTTCATAAATCAGTTTTTTTGAATCTGTATATCCTATAGTCAGTTTAGAAGGAAAAAAATTTTAGCGTACAATTGTAACGGAACCAAAATTGGTCTTGAGTCGAAAAATCTTCATTCGAGCTAATCTAAGAGATCAAGATAGTGCAACTGTTCCTGAAAGTTTCCGTCGTTTTTACAAGGAGAACCTACCTCTATTTTATGCCAACTCTTACACTTCTCCTCAACTCTTGCCACCGCGGTTTACTTCACCCTCAATCTGTCTACTTCATGTATGATCCCTTCTTCTGTTCCCTTACGGGTTACATTCTATAACAATTCTTGCCTTCGCCAGCGTTAGTTGAGACTCCCACTTTCAATGGATATGATTTGTGGGACTTTTCTCGATCCACGAATACTTACATGTCTCGAATTTCAGGTTTCACAACCGTAGGTTTAGGTTAAAAAGCTTCAAACTCCACCGGGAAATCATAGTGTTCATGGTGATTCTTTACCTAGAGTGTGAAGATCCAAAGATCAAGTAGGTTAGGAGGATGTATACTACATCAAATCCGAAGAAATACACCTAGGCCACTATCGGGCCTGTTGTGCTCTCCAATTCATGAAAAAAAAAAAGAAAAATTGTTCACTGAATGTATTATTTTTCCATGTTCAGAAACCAATCGGTGTTGGTTAAGAATGTTATTTCCGGAATAACATCACTTCCAAGATTCTTGGATCTAACTTCGACGAATTCCTGACAATGGCAAAGATGGTGCCCAGAGTTTCACTGTCCTCTCCACACGCTCTACATTCGTCTGAATCCGCACGTTCAATTTTGTATAAATGTGCACGTAATCCTGTGTGTCCACTCAGAATACGTACCATCATACTAACCTCAGACTTGCTCATTTTGAGGAGATTTCTCGTCTTGCTCTCATCAGGGTCACCCCATAGAATCTTTGTGGTTCTACCCACCGTTTCATTATTCCAAGAGGCCTTATGGGATTCTCTCATCCATATTTTTAATTCAGCTTTTGTTGCGTCGAATGGTTTTGCGTTTGTCATGTTAACTACATCGAGCTCCCTTCCCTTTAAAGCTATTGCATTCGCCCTTTCGTTGCCGACTACTCCCGAGTGGCCTGGTACCCATATGATGTGAACCTTACCTCTGGGAGAGTATTCAGTTAAAGCTTTCTTACAATCCAATACGGTCTTAGATTTAATTCTATCACCTGATATCGCCAGGCCCACTTTGTCCCCTAATTTAGAGCCATCCGTGTAGCAACGGATTCCTACAGGTATTTGCTGTAATGTTCCGCTTGACCAAGACATTCTATCTGGGATTAGCGTTTCAAAGTTTCCGACATATTCTGTGTCTGGTATGCGATCAGGCACGTCCGATGAATGTGTATAACTTTCCAATGTGTACAGTATACATTGATGACGTGTCCTATAACCGTTTTTGGCCAGTTCGCCTAAAGTAAAGAGCCGTTCGGCTGTAAGCGCCGCCTCATATCTTATATATGTTTCAATGGGTGGAATATCTAGCAACGTTTCCAGAGCCTTGGTTGAAGTAGTACACATGGCACCACTTATACCCAAGCAGCATGTACGCTGAACTCCCTGTAGTAGTTTGATATTACACTTTTTGTCCAAAGCAGTCCACCAGATTATTGAAGCATAAGCTAGAATTGGTCTAATTACACTTTTATAAAGCCAATTTGTCATAGTAGGACTAAGACCCCATTTCATGCCTATGGTTCTCCTACATATCGCCCAGCACCGATGTGCCTTGTTGATTCTATCCTCTATGTGGTGTCTCCATTTTAATATCCGGTCAAGTATTACACCTAAGTACTTTGTCTGTCACCGGTATCTTCTTGCCCAGGAAGCAAGGTCCAGTATATGTAGAAATTTTTGTCTTTCTTGTGAAAAGACAGATTTCCGTCTTCGCCGGGTTAACATTGAGGCCTCTCGGTTGAGCCCAGCTCAAGGCCGCATTCAGAGCCTCCTCAGCTCTTCTAAATAAGTAATTTGATCGAGTAACAAAACACTAGTATAAAACATTAATAAGAGGAGAGAGAGAGAGAAATGGTAACAGGTCGAAAAAGTTTACCGATTCGATTCACTAAAGAATGAAATGTGAGATAATCTGAGTCTCCCTATAAAAAGAAATGACTAAATCTTCTGATAAAACCTAATAGACTGCGTAGATTGAGTCATTATATAATCCCAGTTTCAATGGACACCGTTTGTGGGACTTTTCTCGTTTCACGAATACTAGCGTGTTCCAGGTTTCACAATCGTAGGTTAGGTTAAGAAGGATTATAAAAAACTGCAAACTCCACACGAAGACCATAGGATACTGATTCTCTACGTAGAGTCCGAAGATTCAAAAATAAAAACCAAAGCACTAGATAAAAACAAATAGAACATAAACAAGAGCAGAGATGGAGTAATGGAATCAGATCGATTCCCAAGAGGTTCCAACCAAGAAGTAAAGAAAATGTTGTGAGAGAATCTCAGTCTCTCTATAAAACAAAGTATAAGAAATTACTAATTTCCCTGACAAAACCTAGTAGACTGTTTCCCCCCAGTTCGCCATGTAACCTAGTTCCCAAAGATCCGCTACTCTAAGTCAATGGAATATTATATGATCGATCGCTCTAGTTGCTCTGCAAGTCTGTATAACCTACAATATTCTGGTATATTACTGTCCCACTTGCTAACAAAGGCCCCGTTAAGACCTCTGTCAGAAGATTCGGTATTCTAGGCCAATGGCAAATTATAGGCTCAATCGCTCTAGTTCCTCTGCATCTTTGCATAACCTACAATATTCTATAATATTACTGTCCCATAAGGTCCCGTTAAGATCTCTGTTAGAATCCTTATACTGTGCTTAACCAGTCCTATATGTATCTTGGTAGCCCTCACATCAAGTGTTGACCATAAGCCGTTTGATGTTTTGCAATTCGTTCTACTATTGCAGGAGTGGTTGATGATGTCTGGAATTCTCTCGTAAATCAAACTATAATATTGACAGATGGGTGGTTTCATTCTTCTTTTCCTATCATATATTTCAAAGTTCGTACCTAATCCAGCTAGTTCGTTCGTAACCTCATTACTATGTACATTGCAGTGCCACGACACCCAACACAACCTAATATATAGTAAACAGTCTCATAAGGTCTCTAAAATCATTTCTATAATCTACAACTTACTTTAAGAGTAGCTTGACTATCGACATAAAATGTTACAACCGACGCAATGTGATTCCGTATTAATTCCAAATCGCTGTTATAACTATTTGTAAGATACAAAATTCATCAGGAAGTGTGAAGTAATATATCATATTGATATATCAAACCGTCGGTATAAATTCGGCACCCATCAGACAGTCTATCGGATACAAGCCAATCGTCCCTAGTTAGAAATTCCATTATAGGTTGCTCGCTACCAAGCGAGTTCACTCGGAGGCCTTGTGGCCCATTGAGATACCCTTAGAATTACCATTCCCTAGCGATGAGAGAATGGTTACCCTCCCTAATTTCGTTGACTACTTGGTTCGTTCGGCCTCCATGTAAACCAGCCGGTGCTTTTAATAAAACCGATCATGTTTATCAGTGACGCATCTCTGAGACAGTCTAGATCATGGAAAAGAGCTCTACCCAGATAGAGTAGTCTGTGCTCTTGTAAGGCTGGACAGTCACATAGAAGGTGTTGTATCGATTCCACTTCCTCTTCGTCTAAGCAGCTTCTACAGTAGCTATGATTTGGGTAGCCCATACATTCTGACATATGTCCAATCATTTAGTGCCCAGTAATTGTACCAGTTAGAAGCCTAATCGAGTACTTATCAAGAGATAAGAGAGTCCTAGTCCTATCTGTTGTCAGAGTGGGCCAGAGCAGTCTCGATATTCTACAAGTGATGATATTTGATCACCTTAGTTCCGTCTCACTCAGAGCCCATTCATCTATCATCATCTATCAACTCGACGTGATGTTGTGTCAGTTGTGCCTTGATTGATGCAAGGCTGTCCAAAGTATATTTATATAGTCGAATTTTCGAGATTTAGTTCCCGGTCCTTCAGGCATATATCTCTGCCTGAAGGACCGTGCAGGTGTCAGGTAGTCGAAGAGACAGTAGAAGATTTAGATCATCGGAGGAGATTCCCGATCCCGTACCCCTTTCTGTCTTTGAGCCATCTGTGTAGATTGAGATCACATCGTCCCTTAGGACAGTATTCGCGGCCCAATCATCGTTCCACTTAGTTATTTGGAATTTCTATATTTCCAAAAAAGTT